GCGGAACTTGCGGGTGGCACTGCTGGGCACCGATCATCAGGGCACTGATCATCAGTGCCCTGATGATCGGTGCCGATCCCCACTCTGACTACTGCCGGTTCTCGGCAGTACTTTCCTCACGATCTGACAGCGTGAGGAAAGTGCAGCCGAGAACCGGCACTTGCATTTCCCTCTGATCAGCGTGTCATTGGACACCGCTGATCAGGTGGTAAAAGGCCGCTGTGATTGGCCTTTTACCACATCACGTGATCAGCTGTGTCCGTAGGACACAGCGATCACGGAGATCGCCGGGTGCGCGCCCCCTGGGGCGCGCAGGAGAGTGCGTTCTGGGGGGATGTCATATAACGTCCACTCAGAACTGGCCGGCCGCAGTGCAGCCGTCATTCGGCTATCTGCGGTCGGCAACAGGTTAATAGCAAAAAGTAAAAAAAAAAAATGTTCTCTCAAAATTTTCAGTCTTTTTTTTTATAACGCAAAATATAAAAACGCACAGGTGATCAAATATCAAAGCAAGCTCTATGGGAAAAAAGGACGTAAATTTAATTTGGGTGCAGCATTGCATGACCGCACAATTGTCAGTTAAAGTAAAGCAGTGCTGTAAAGCAAAAAATGGTCAGGAAGGGGGTTAATCCTCTGGAGGGCAAATGGTTAAGCTTTGACAATAAAACCTGGAAGCTGATTGGTTTCTATGCAGGACAGTCAGAGCAGAATGAAAACTCATCATGCAAGCTTTATCCAGGCCTTAGCTGGACACTGATAGATGTCACAAGACTGCTATGTACTGCTGATGAGAAAAGTTATTTAGCCGTTTACTTAAATAATTGCCATTCCATGTTCTGTGTACTGTGGGAGACCAGATATAGTGAATGCAGGGTCCTGGGTTTAGTAACACTTTAATACCATTTTAATTTTTAACGCTGTTTACTACTCTCTTATATTGAGAGAAATAGCACTGTTATTATTTTACATGAATTTCCTGGCTTTCCATTTTTTTACCAATTGCCTTTCTGCTGGTAAGTACTCCAGGCAGCTTTATGATGAAAAGAAATCTTTGTTTCCTTTGGGACTTAGAACAATGACTGTCATTGCTCTATTAGTCTTATTGGAGACATACCCACTGTGTAAGCATGTTCACCTGTATTGTCAAAACAGCAAATACAACATAACAAAAGGCTCAGCAGTTATGATCCTTGTCAGCACTATTTTCTGTTTTGTTGCTTTAATGAGCCATTTATACAATTCATCAAAAGTAAACAAATTAAACATATCCTTTATACAACCGAGTATAATTGCAGACTATTTTTCTCTAATTCTAAAACTCTGATCATGGTTCTGTATGCAACACACGCTCATTTGCAAAGTGCACTGCAAGTTCTTTGGACATGGCTTACAAATATGTAAATTCCTCGCCTGATCCCAATACACCCATTCATTCTTCTCCCCAATCACCCCTCCCCCCCCCCCCACCTTTTTTCCCCTTTTTTTTTTTCTCTTTTTGTTATCAATAATCACTAATATAATTAAAATATTCATATATTATACACATTTATTTATGGTTGATTACTGTGTAGGATTAATTGCCATAGTTCATTTTTTGTAAGTTTATATATCACATTTCTGTATAACCCCGTTTATGTTTCCTATTCTAATCTTTTCAATAAAAATGTTGTACCATCAAAAATAAGTAAATGCGTATGTAAAATGTCTGTATGTTTTTCACATGGAAAAGAAGTTGTTATGCATGGAAAGGGGAGAGGGAATGGCCCTTGTGTACATTAAAATCTCAAAGTAACACTTACTACATGCCATCCTTTGTAATGTTTGATAATGAACTTCAAGTAAAAGCTGAAGATTAATTTAATTATATTTTGCCTTTCCTGGTTGCTCCCCCCCATCAACATGCTAATTACATTGAAAAAACTTTCCCATGTTTATTATTTACCCTATTTTAGACCCAGTGATGTCATCATTGGATCTATGTGCTTTTCTATGCAATGCAGTCAGATCATGGCTGGTAGGAGAGACCAGCAGTGTGCTGTACATAGCTTCCTGAAAACATCACAACACCCTGCCTCAGCATTCCTCTCAACATCTTTAAGCTCTGATGCAGGCAGTGGGCTGACTTTTGTGGGGAGTTATGCAAATATTAAAATGCTTTAATGGGTGGATGGTAGTGGGGAGCCTCCATGATTGAAAGAATTTGAAATCCTATGTGGGCCAGGGACAGTCAGACTGGGAAGGAAAGCGCTAGATGACGCTGGATGTCCTCCAGCAAGGAAATGAAGCAGGCTTTCTCTGATTTGCTGCAGCTTCTAATGCAAACTGTGAGAAGCTCACAGTGTGCGGTTAAATCAGAGCAAGCTGTATCAGTACAGGAGCCTGTAGATATGTGTAAGACTGAAGATAAGCCTGGAGCTCAGCTTTAATACAGAACTCCAATATATGGGTAAATCACACTGGTTTGCCTGCCAATACATTTGTATTTCTGCCCTTGCAGCCCTGAGATTTCACATCCCTGCCAAATTACTGACCTAGGTTGATGGCCTCGTTTTTCTCTACTGCAGTTTGTCAATACATCTTGGTCATATCCCTGACCCTTGCCTAAGACTGGACAGTGAAGGAGCAGCAGCAGACTGATGAGCTCATGCCTCTGCTCACTCAGCACATCTGATTGGTCCCTATCCTTGCCCCTTTTGTTTTCCAGGCTGTGTTCTACAGCGCATGGCATTACAAGAGTAAAATTCAGGCACTAACACTAGAATCATTGAAATATACAATATATTAAAATTTCAAATCCAGACAAAACTTTGTTTTCCTTTTAAATAAAACAATAAACCTGTTAGAGCTTCTGCCAGTTTGTTATTGCCCTGTGATGGTGAACGTTAGCCCAAGTCTTTACTGTTGACTGGACCTTGCTGCTCTAGCAACAATTAAAACATCTTTTTCCCAACCCCAATTTCTTTTATGGGTGTCACATGGACAGGAAGTAAGGTAAGATCCTCCCAGTGGGATCATAAACAATACATAACAGAAAAGTAGCTCTTCCCAAAACTATACAAAGAGCAGGCAACCAGCATTTTTAGGCATTCAACAATGGCGGCCATGTCTTTCTTTTTATCAGTATGCACGGCAGGGCTTGTGTAAAATTTCCTCCCCACTTATAATTTAGTTGCATATAGGATTTCACAAATAATGCATATTGTATCAACCCATTTTATTACAATTAGTATTGTGCATTTTGCTGCCCAGTAACCATCCATTCCCGTATATGAGAGCTTCAGCAATGTCGAAAATATGTGTAATGTAATAAACTTGTATAACCAAGGTATTACTAATTGTCATTTTGCAGAGTGCCCTGGAGGGGCGCCATCCCCTTGTAACAACAGAGGTATATGCTCCGATGGGATGGGCGGGAATGGGACCTGTACTTGTCAAGTAAGTGTTGTATGATGTCCTCACTGCCACTACTACCATGTCGTTTCCTGCTATATTACTGTAATAACCAAAACACTACTTATTTCATAGTTGTAGAAAATGTTTTTGCCATATATTTTTATAAATAATATAATGCTTATAACACGTGGGCTACAAAGGATCTATTCGTTACTAAAGCGGTTGTAACCTCTGAAATGGAAAAATGAAAAAAACGTATCCTCTTAGATTGTAAGCTCCAAGGATCAGGCCCTCCTAACCCTCTTGTATTGAACTGTATTGTTGCTGTATTGTCTCCCTTTATATTGTAAAGCGCTGAGCAAACTGTTGGCGCTATATAAATCCTGTATAATAATAATAATACCAAATCTTCTATTTCTCCTATCAGTTCATCCCCCACAGTTATTGCCTTTTGTACCTCCAGACCCTCCCTCTTAGATTGTAAGCTCCAAGGAGCAGGGTCCTCCTATCCCTCTTGTATTGAACTGTATCGTTGCTGTACTGTCTCCCTTTATATTGTAAAGCGCTGAGTAAACTGTTGGCGCTATATAAATCCTGAATAATAATAATAATATCCTTCTATAGAGTGTACTTGCCTCTATCCAAAACACTTAGTGTGGTCTCTGTCTGTTCTGTCATCCCCCTGAAAACTAGATGAGTCATTTCTGACAATATGTGCAGACACCAGACAATCCCAGGAGACGGCCTTGCTTACCCCCAGCACACAGAAGGTGATTGACAGCCTCAGCTGTGCATGTTTTCCTATGAGCCTGTGTACACAGTACTTTTCTCCACTCAGGTCTCAGAGTACACTCGGCTCTCTGCTCTATGCTGTGCAGTGTGTGACATCAGATCCCCGCCCCCTGCATACTGGAGCTGATAAATATTGTCTAAATTCTGTACTTTAAACTGCTGTAGTAGAGAAAGGGTGGCAGATTATTATTATTATTATATACAGGATTTATATAGCACCAACAGTTTGCGCAGTGCTTTACACAATGAAGGTAGACATTACAGTTACAATACAATTTGGTACAAGAGGAAACAGAGGGCCCTGCTCCTTAGAGCTTACAATCTAGGAGGAAGGGGTGAGTGATACAAAAGGTAATAGCTGTGGGGGATGAGCTGATGGGAGAAATAAATGGCGGTTTACTAGGTAGAAACAGGATAGGCCTCTTTAACCACTCACCTACAGGGCACTTATACCCCCTTCCTGCCCAGGCCAATTTTCAGCTTTCAGCGCTGTCGCACTTTGAATGACAATTGCGCGGTCATGTAACACTGTACCCATATGAAATTTTTATCTTTTTTTGGGACACATAGAGCTTTCTTTTGGTGGTATTTAATCAACTCTGGGTTTTTTATTTTTTGCTAAACAAACCAAAAACCACTGAAAATTTTGAAAAAAAAAATTTTTTTTTCCGTTTTTGTTATAAAATTTTGCAAATAAGAGATTTTTCTCCTTCATTGATGGGCGCTAATGAGGCTGCAGTGATGGGCACTGTTAGGCTGCACTGATGGACACTGATAGGTGATACTGATGGGCACTGATGAGGAGGCACTGGTAGGTGGCAATGATGGGCATTGACAGGCATCACTGGTGGACACTGAAAGGCACCACTCATATATGGCACTGATAGGCAGCACTGATAGGTAGCACTGATAGGCAGCACTGACTGGCACTGATAGGCGGCACTGATAGGCAACACTGATGCGCACTGATAGGTAGCGGTAGCACTGACTGGCATTGATAGGTGGCACTGACTGGCTCTGATAGGTAACACTGAAAGGCAGCTCAGATGGGCACTGATATGTGGCATTGATGGGCACTGGCAGGTGGCATTGATGAGCACTGACAGCTGTCACTGATGGACACTGACAGGTGGCACTGCTGGGGCTACACTGATCATCAGGGCACACTGATCATCAGTGCCCTGATGATCAGTGTACATGTCCCCTCTGAGTAATGCCGATTACCGGCTCTCCTCTGTCAGCGTGACAGCTCGTGAGGAGAGAAATGCCAATAACCCGCATTTCCTTATTTACATGTGTTCAGCTGTGATTGAACACAGCTGATTACATGACCGAGCCGACATCTTCGGCTCTTTCCGTTGATCGGTGATCCACTGTGTCCAAGGGACACAGTGCACCGCCGATCGCCGCGCTGCGTGCTCCCGGAGCCGTCATATGACGTCCTCCCAGAACGAGAGAACTGCCTTGCGCCCGTCATTAACTTATATGGCGGGCGGGAGGTGGTTAAAGAGAAAGGTTTTCAGGGATCGTCTAAAGGTGGATAGATTTGGAAACAGCCGGACAGATTGGGGTAGGGAGTTCCATAGGATGGGAGAAGCTCAGGAGAAGTCCTGGAGGTGAGCATGGTAGGAGGTGACACGGGAACTAGAGAGCATTAGGCCTTGGGAGGATTGAAGAGAGCGGTTTGGTTTATATTTTGAGACCAGGTTGGCAATGTAGCTGGGGTAGAGTTGAGAATGGCTTTGACAGTTTTTGTTAGTATTTTGAATTTTATTTGTTGGGCGAGTGGAAGCCAGTGGAGGGATTGGCAGATGAACAGGTACAACTTATGTAGGAGGACTTGTTTCATCTTAGTGTATCGCATGAGGCCAGTCACTTCACTGGGTATATGTGAGGGTTTACAACCATTTAAAATTGTAAGGAACAATGTAAATTTCCTACAAATGTACATTTTAGCTGAAGTTTTTGAGTACATAGTTTGCACTATTGCAATGTTTACATTAAAGCCTCCAGGCAGTGAGTAAATAATCATGATCCCCCTTCAGGTGATGAAGATGATATTACTCATTTATCTTGAGGATGATTTACCGCACACTAATACTCACCTTACAACAGTCTGCAGGCTATTTCTCCACTCTCCAATGCGGGAATATGAGCTAGCACACCTACCAGCAGCCACATCCTACCCTGATAACGTAGACCCTGGTCCTGCACTGATTACAGCAGGAGTGATGATATTTGCAAGAGTGGTGGTGGCAACAAGACCAAGGAAGAAGATCAGCTTTGAGGGATTAGTCATCACGTCTGGGACCAGTGGGAAGGAAGACTGCGGGGCCATGGATTAAAGAAAACCTGGTTCTTCTCTAAGGATGACCATACACTATAAAATGTTCTGTCCAATTTCTTTTAGATTTACCTTCAACTGTGTAGTGCAAGAGCCTGCCTAATTGGATACAATTGAAAGTGTAGTTTAGGTTTGACCTCATATTATATGGTTTTTGGTAAATCTAAACCAAAAATCTCAAGAAAATTGGATAATCTATGGCCAGCCTAAGGGCTATTTGGCAGCTGCATCCTGTTATAGAAAACACTGAATACTTACCTCTCCAGTAGGCATTGGGGTTAATTTACTAAAACTGGAGAGTGCAAAATCTGGTGCAGCTCTGCATAGAAACCAATCAGCTACCAGGTTTTATTCTCAAGGCTTAAATGAACAAGCTGAAGTTAGAAGCTGATTGGCTGCCATGCACAACTACACCAGAGTTTGCACTCTCTGGTCTTACTAAATCAACCCCATTAAATCCACTTTCTGCCCACGTTGGACACCATTGTTTTTCTCGATGGCCGCTTGGTCCTGTAGAGATGTCGCAGCCTATGGGAAGAACCACAGCACCCAGGAGGGGACACACTATCCGACACACCCTGAAGTGTCTGATAGCAGCAGTTCAGCTCGCTCTGCAAAAGAGTGAAAAATAGACATGCCATCGAAAGGAAAGTATTCATCCTCTTACATTACAAGGTACAGCTGCCTCAAAGTGTAGAGAGAAGCAACAAGGCTGCTTTAAGTTAGGCCTAGTACATACTATTAGAAAATCGGATAAAAATATCTGAATTCAGACTGATCTTCGATTTTCTGTTCAGTAGTACACTGCTTTAGAGATCCAAATTTGACTGTTCAAATGAAAATTCCATAAGGCTAGGTTCACACCTATGCAGGTTGCATTTGAGCTGTTTCTGCATTGCATTTTTGCTGCGTTTTGCAGGATCTTTTTCATTTTTTTAAATTTTTCTTCTTGCTAGGCAGATTTAAAACGCAAAAAAACGCAGCAAAGACGCAATGCATGCTTTTCTGCAGCGTTTCCATTGAAGTCTACAGAAACAAAAATGCAACTTTTTGCATTCAAAAAAGACCCTGACTCTTTACAAAAAATGCACCGGGTGAAAACGCGGAGATGTGAATGTGTTCCATCATCAGGAAATCATGTTAAATGGACTGTACTGCGTTTCTGCAAAACGCTGTAGAAAACGATGTGAACCTAGGGTAAGGGGCATGTTGAAAATTGTTCTAGTTAGCCTGCTTTCACACTGGTTCACCTCAAAAATGCTTGAAAAGTGACTAGCGTTTTTGGAGCATTTTGTAGGTGTTTTTGGAGCATTTTGTAAAGTGCACTGCATGAGACCTTTTTCAAACATTTTTCAAGCGTTAGCGCTCCCCCCTTCACATCATGTGCCTTTTTAAAGGTCTTCCCACATGTGTGGTGAGTTTTTGGAGCATTTTTGAGGCAGTTATTGATTTCAATGGGAAGAGGTATTTTTGAGGCGTTTTTTTTTTAAACTCCCTAAACATGCCTCAAAGATGCTGCAAGCAGGAGTTTTTACACCACACCGCAAGCGCAACGCCTCAGTGTGAAAACATACATAGATATACATTCATAAACACAGGGAAGAAGTTTTCTTCTGCCTTTCTGGTGTTTTTTTTAATGCCAAAATACTTGAAAAACTTCTCAGTGTGAAAGCAACTTTAGGGTAATTTCACACTAATCCACTGTAAAAATGCGTAGGCGTTTTTGCTGCATTATTTCTGCATTTTTTGCTGTGTTTTTGCCGTGTTTTTTAAGGGACACCAAAAACCGCTTCTCAAAGCCGTTTTCCAGGTGTTTTTCCATTTATTTTTGGGGCTTTTTTTTAACTCTCCAAACATGCCCCAAAGATGCTGCAAGCAGGAATTTTTTGCACCACACCGCAAGCGCAACAGCTCAGTGTGAAAACATACATAGATATACATTCATATACATAGGGAAGCAGTTTTCTTGAGCTTTTCAGGCGCTTTTTGTAATGCAAAAATGCTTGAAGAACTCCTCAGTGTGAAAGCAGCCTTAGGCACTGATCCGCTGCAAAAATGTCTCAAAAACGCGTAGGCATTTTTGCTGCGTTATTACTGCATCTTTTGCTGTGTTTTTGCAGCGTTTTTTAAAGGATACCAAAACTACTTCTCAGGATCGTTTTTCAGGCGTTTTCCATTTATTTTAATGGGAAGAGGTATTTTTGGAGCTTTTTTTTAAGTCTCCAAACATGCCCAAAGGATGCTGCAAGCAAGAGTTTTTACACCGCACCACAAGCACAACGCCTCAGTGTGAAAACATACATAGATATACATTTATATACATAGAGAAGCAGTTTTCTTGAGCTTTTCAGGTGCTTTTTGTAATGCAAAAACCCTTGACATACTCAGTGTGAAAGCAGCCTTAGGCTACTTTCACACTGAGGAGTTTTTCAAGTGTTTTTGCGTTAAAAAAAGCACCTGAAAGGTTCAAGAAAAACGCCCTAAAATGCCTCTTCCCATTGAAATCAATGGAAAATGTCTGAAAAAACGCCTGGAAAATGCTCTGAGAAGCAGTTTGGATGCAGTTTTAAGTCACTTGTCCTTTAAAAAATGCGGTAAAAATGCCTATGCATTTTTGCTGCATTTTTGCGGCAGATCAGTGTGAAAGTAGCCTTAGTTATTTTAACATCCAATATTTATTTAATTAGTACAGTATTCTCCTGTAAAAATCAAATGAGCTAGTCCACACGTGACTGGATATAAAGTACAACCATAGACTAGACATAGACCGGAAATACCTACATGTCCTCTGTCAGTTGAGATGTCTCGTAGCATTTTAGGCATTCTAATTTTCAACATGGGACAAGGACATGGAAAAATGCGAATGATCATTTGCTCAGTTTTTCTAATAGTTTGTACTAGGCTTTAGTGAAGTGGCCGTGCTTATGTTTTCTTCTTTCAATGACATACAACTAATTGTCTGAGTAATATTCATTGGTATTTTATTTAGGTACACATACAAGAATGCATGATTTAAACAATAGTAAGCATGTAAATCTTTTTTTCAACTTTGTTTAGGAAAAATTTGGTGGAACAAACTGTGAGAAATGCGCAGATGATGACTCGTATGGTCCGGACTGCCGATCTGGTATGACAGAGGCACAGCTTTGCCTTTAAAAAGCCAGTTTACAATTTTCTCAGTTAAATGTGTACTTTGTCACTCAGGCAGTACTTTAACTTTACAATACACACAATATAAAGGGAAATTATAATGTGTTTTCTGAGAGATGCACATTTTTAATAGTTATTACAGAAAGCAGTTTTGACTTTATTATTGGCTTGCTATTAAATATTTTGATTGTTGTTTTTAATATGTAGATTTGAAACATTCTTTCTTTATTGGCTATCATATAATATGACTAACATCCCTGCCTACTGGTTGCAGATAAGAGTCTGGTTTTTTTTACAGAGGGGTGAGACCTGCAGTGAATAGAGAGTTGTTTTTGATAATTAGATTTGTAAATGCTCTCTTTATTGGCTATTTGTATATCAGAAAATATGACTAGCGTCCTTGCCTACTGACTGCAGATCATAATCTGTTTTTTACAGACAGGTGAGATCTTCAGCCCTGGTTCACATATATGCGGTTCGGAAAATGCAGTGAATGCTGTGTGTTTCCCGCACCGCATTAAAATCACAGTTCATTCAAGTGTCAAATTAATGACACCCCAAAACACTTCGCAAAACACAGTGCAATTACAGGAATCAGATTGTATAGGTGTTTTTGCCGTGCCTATGTGATCTGATTCTGGTGTGGCAAAAAAAATGCAGGTGCCCAGACAAAATG